GAAGCTCTTTTCGCACTCTCCAACCGCCACGGGAACGGCGACAACTTTTGGTGTCGTAAAGTGGCCCATGAGCCGTTAGATCGAAGCTTTCCTCGAGCTATACAAGCGCTACGGCAACGGCGACAAAAAAAAGTTACGAGACCAGAAGTTGTCACCGTTTCCGTAGGGGTTGAAGAGTTAGAGGAGTTCTTTGATCTCCCAGATGGCCCCCGTTACGACACCAAAGGTTGCCGCCGTTTCCATCGCAGTTGTAGAGCTTCAGGAGAGCTTCGATCTAACCTCTGATAGGCCCCGTTACGATACCAAAAGTTGCCGCCGTTTCCGTAGCCATTGTAGAGCTCGAGGAGAGCTTCACTCTAACCTCTGATGGGTCCTGTTACCACACCAAAACTTGTCTCCATTTCCTTGGCGGTTGTAGATCGCGAAGAAAGCTTCAATCTAACGGCTGATGGGCCACATTACGACACCAAAAGTTGTCGCCGTTCTCGTGGCGGTTGTAGAGTACGAAGACAGCTTCGATCTAACGGCTGATGGGCCCTGTTACGACACCAAAAGTTGTCGCCATTCCCGTGGCAGTCGTACATCGCGAAGAACGCTTCGATCTAATGGCTGATGGGTTCAGTTACGACACCAAATTTTGTCGCCCTTCCCTGGGCGGTTGAAGGGCGCGAAGAATCTAACAAAGTTTGGGTCATGTTACGACACCAAAAGTTGTCACCATTTCCGTGCCAGTTGTAGATCGCGAAGAGACCTTCGATATAACGGCTGACGGGCCCGTTACAACACCAAAAGTTGTCACCGTTCCCGTGCCAGTCGTACATCGCGAAGAACGCTTTGATCTAACGGTTGATAGGTCCCGTTACGACACTAAAATTTGTCGCCCTTTCCCCGGGGGGTTGAAGGGAGCGAAGAATTTGACGGATTTTGGGCCCCGTTATGACACCAAAACTTGTCGCCGTTCCCGTGGTCATTGTAGATCGCGAAGAGTGCTTTGATCTAACGGTTGATGGGCCCTATTACGACACCAAAATTTGCCGCCCTTCCCATGGCGGTTGCAGAGTGCGCTGAGAGTTTCGATCTAACGGCTATTGGGCCCCGTTACGACACCAAAAGTTGTCGCCGTTCCCGTGGCGGTTGTAGAGAGCGAAGAGAGCTTTGATCTAACGGTTGATAGGCACCGTTACGACACCAAAATTTTTCAGCGTTTCCGTGGCCGTTGTAGATTGCGAAGAGAGCTTTCGATTTAACGGCTGATGGGACCCGTTACGACACCAAAACTTGTCGCCTTTCCCGTGACGGTTGTAGAACGAATATAGAGCTTCGATCTAACGGCTGATGGGCCCCGTTACGACACCAAAAGTTGTCGCTGTTCCCGTGGCAGTTG